AAGTTGATGTATTTCCTCAGCGACCAGCACGGATCAGCTCCAGGACGAACGAAGTGGATATCGTCCTCTTTTGGAAGACCAAACAAAGTAGTTTCGCTTTCACAACGAAGCACACAGCGTCTTCACGACATGGCAGCGTCGGCAACAACAATACTACAGCAAGAATAAAAGTTATGCCTTCTTTCTTTGTGTGAACATTTGAGCGGCGTTATGCAAATCGTGACGTAGACATGTGGGGGCGTGTTTAAACAAGGTGTTTTAGGAGGGTGTGGACAAGTCTTTACTTTTATAAAGAATATCTCTTTGGGTTTGAGACTTTAGTCTTTGCAACTTTATGGATCTTATCTATGCACGAACAGCTTGTAACACTCCAAAGAGAAAGGAAAAATTTAAATTGAATCATATGACCCCTTTAATGACTCATCTTGCACCAGTGGGTGTGTCCAAATGTTTGTCCTATCAAATGCACACTAGAGTGAAAAAAAACCCCTCCCCCAATACCAACAGCTTATGACTAGAAATAGAATGTTGCAATTCATATAAACCAAATGTAGCAATTTCATGGTGTATTCAAGAAATTTTTAGCAGGAATATGCAGAAAAGTCATTCTCTAGGCCATAAATATTGATTTACCAGCAAACAAAAGGGATAAAATACTAATATCACCTTTCAAAACGATGCTGCCATCGAGGTGGTATTCCAAGTGCACGACATCCGGCATTTCCTTCACCATATCCAAAACATTTCTGAATCCCAGTAACCTGAGGGGCATGGGGAAGCCCAGCATGGTGTGGTAGTCTCTCTTGAGCTGCTCAGGGGTCAAACCACGCTTAGCAGAGACCAGAAGAGAGCGGACATCCTTCTTCAAACCCGTGAGGAGCTGATCTTGGGTCATCTTGACAGCTAAAAACACAAGTGGGACACAATTTACTTACTTGATAGCCGACAAAAACATGACAGTTTAAACGTAAATGTTATTCCACCATGAGGTCAACACCCCAAACATGTTTTATTGACAATACTGGTTTAACGCAAAATGCAAGCGTTTACACACTTAACAACCGGCTTTAAACGTTTATATCTTTGCATTTACATTATTAATGTGTTTTATGGACGAGAGATTACCTTATGTACAAGATGAACGCGTTCTGTCGTTCCGTGGAGATCACGCGACAGGCCACGTTTTTAAAAAAATGGTAATTTTGCATCACAGGTGCGCGAGCGCGAGCGCGATTACGTCGATGGAAAGAGCGTCAAAAATATCCTCCGAGATTGATTTTTTTAAAACAGGAGTGTATGTAGAAGTGCAGATGAAAGTGTGTTTTTCTTAAGGGTCTGTGTGTGTGTGGGCAGAGGCAGCAAACTTCCTGAGACACGTGCTTCATCAGCATTCAATCAAGCTCCTCGTGCTGACGCTGCACTTTATGACTTTCACAATGTTTTCTGATGTATACTTTTACTTTTTTCACATGCTTTAAAAAAAATAGTATAATTTTCCATTTTTCTTAAATAAATGAAATAAAACGAATAGAAATATATGCTACAAAACTACAAGGCCTAGCCTAAATGTGTAAGTGTTAAAAACATTTTTACATAGGCTACATGCATTGTTCAGTTTATTATGGTAAAAAACAATAGCCTACTAGACATGATCAAATTTGGTGATTTATATTTGAATATAAAGGGTTGTGCAAAAAAAAAAAAAAAAAAAAAAAAAGGTCATACTCATCAACAAAAACTGATACATTTTGCCAGATTTATGTTTATTTAAGAAAGTCTTGTTTTGAATACATTTATAGTTTTTTAATTGTTTATTTTTAAATTTATTTTCTTGTTTCATAGTTTTAATCAAAAAATGTAATTCTAAATCTATCTATCTATCTATCTATCTATCTATCAAGATAATAAACATGACCGTGGCATTAAACAAAGGTCTTAAAACAGAAAACAGAACATGAAAAATCTTTATCTTTCTTATTACTAAACTTAATAACACTGTATATAAATGGTGTTTCACAAAACATTTTGCTTTGCTTTTTTATTGAATGATATAATTTGCCAGATTTACCCAAATAACCATTTTCTAAAAATGTTGTTCTATTCAATTATATTTATTATATATTTACAAAAAAATAAATATAAGATAGATAGATAGATAGATAGTTGTTCAATCTAAATTCAAATCATTATTATGAATTAACATATAGAGGACATTCAGAGAACATGCAAATTGGATTTTTGGTAACACATTATTTTCCATTCAACGCCTCTGTGTAGGATGTTACCGCTGTGAAAAATTCATTAGAAGAGTGCAAACACTCCCCTGTCATCATATGAACCTGCAGAGGCCTACAGAGATACTCCCTGTTCAGACCCACAGACGTCCACAGGAGCAGACCAGACACCAGATGAACCCTCACAACAGATGCTTCTTATGAGGGAGGCCGTGATGGAGAAAAGAACAGAAACATCTACGCGTTCTTCAAGATCTGGACGGGTAAAGCGAGAGCCATCGCCTTCTGCTAAAGAGAGGAAAACCAAAGCCCCCAAATCCGTGAAGCTCCAGGAGCCTCACAAAAGAAAAGAAAAAACAGAAGTGACAGAAGAGGAAGAAGAAAGAGGTGAAGCCAAAGAGGCTCAAATCATCTCCAGCAGCACTGTTGTAAATGTAGACAGTGTGAGGGAACGAATAAAAGAAGATCGAGAGGAGTTATTGGGATTATTGGAGACTGAAGGGCCTGGAGAAGGTAAGTGTGGAGAAGAAAACATCTCAGAAAAGATGGAGAACCTATAGTAGGCTATATTGTTCTGTCTTAAATTTTCTCTAAAGCCTTGAAGAAGAGATACCTTGGAATTTGTGAGCTGCTTCTCATCGTTTTGATCCTGTCTGTGGTGATCTTCTTCTTTCCTATTTCCATATGGTTCTGTGTGAAGGTATGCTTTCAATTTATGGGATTAAATATTAAAAACGAATATGTATTTGGTAACTGTGTTCAGGTCCCGTAATTTTAATTTATTATGTATAAAATTGTGTCATTATGTATAAAATTGTTTATATGTAGATTGTGAGAGAACATGAGAGAGCGGTGAAATTTCGATTGGGGCATTTACTGCAGAAGAGTCCAAGGGGCCCTGGTACATTTTTTTAATTTACATATTAACACTTTTACAGTTAGCAAGGTTCTAGTTATTATTTTATGTGAAGAATATACAGTTTTTAATAATAATTGATTATTAAATACATTTCATTTTAGATATATTTTTACTATTTGATTTTTTGTATTTATATTTTAATATTAATTTATAATTCTTAATGTTACATTAAACATTTAAAGCTAATATCATTTTTAGTTAATATATGAATGAATTTAATTTTAGTATGTTAATATTAAGAAGAAATCATTTTAACATTTTAATAATTTATGTATGCGGACTTTAATACATACATGTTTTATTTTGCTGCAGGGCTGATGTTTTATCTCCCATTTTTGGATGTGTGCCATATTGTCGACATTCGTCTGAAAATACTGAAGATCCTTCCTCACACGGTAATTTCTTTGCTTTCAAAGTAACAAAAAAGCCTACATATTTTCTGCACATAGACTTTAATCAGATTAGACGCTATACTGAATGTAAGGTGGATGAAAACGAGTATGTAAGGGACGACTTAAAGTCTTTACAATGGAACGCACTGTATGAAGGTCCAAGATCATGTATTTTCACAACTCACAAACAGTTTTATTGAGTTTTTGTCTACTGAAAGTTTTTTTGGAAAGATGTTTTGTCTGCTAAACAATCGATATGCTGCAATCCAAAGCACTGTCCTTCTATCGCTCACAGCCTCCCTTTCATTCCTGTAAGAAATTTAATTACTACTGACTAAGGTCTTTGTATAGGCAGCATTGTATTTTCTGAGATGACCTTTGAGTCATTTAATGAAGTGCACTGTAAAAAGCTGACTGCGACAAACACCATCTCATTTACACACGTATGTAAACATAAGAGTGGCAACTGGTCGAAGACTAGCCCAATCAAAACCTCCACCCTTAGGTCTCTACACTCTTAAAAATAAAGGTGCTTCACGATGCCATAGAAGAACCTTTTTGTCTAAATGGTTCCATAAAGAACCTTTAACATCTGAAGAACCTTTCTGTTTGACAAAAGGTTCTTTGTGGCGAAAGAAGGTTCTTCAGATTACAAAAATGTAAGAAAGAGATGGTTCTTTAAAGAACCTTTGACTGAATGGTTCTTTGTGGAACCAAAAATGGTTCTTCTATGGCATCGCTGTGAAGAACCTTTTAAGCTTTATTTTTAAGAGTGTACGCAGTCAATGGTATTTCCACACATGAGAGGCAGTGTGATCTGTGCCAACATAACGAGATCCACTAGTGGAAACTCATTTTTAGTCTTATGTTTTCCACGGTTTAATATATAGAGAAAGAAATCACATCTGAATAATGAAACGCTGTAGCCGCAGTGTGATTCTCATGATCAAGTGTGACACGCTGTCTGCCGCATCTCTACCATTCAAAATGAACTTGTTGCCACGTATCATGTAAAATGCCCTTACAAGTAGCATTTAGGGTTTTCTTAGCTTTCTCATTAATGGTAGCTTGCTGTATACTGTATTTATTTAGATAACAAATGGATCTTTTTATTTGCACTCTTTCAGCTTCTAATGGAAGATGCCCTCAAAACACTTGTACAGCTAATGACAGAGAGATCTGCAAGCAGCTTCTCATCTCACCCTCACTTGTGTGGACTCGAACAAATGAGTAAAATGATTTATGATGTTTAAAGATGCTTGCAATGTAAAACCAGTACACAATTTCTTTTAAAGAACAACTTTTGTAAATCCAAGGTACTTCCATTACTGCTTCCATTTTATTTTTTTTGTTAAATTGAGTATAAAAATAACAGATTTTAAACAAATCATTTGATTCTAGAGTACTTCCTTATCTGTGCATCTAGTTAAGGACAACACATTTTGTGCTGCTTTTAACTCAAACAGTGTTAACACAAAGTGTTTTAACAGATTGGTTGAGTTAAAAGTAACACAAAATGTGTTGTCCTTAACTAGATGTTGTTTTAAATATCCGTTTTAAGAGTGTGTTTTAGTAAAATATGTGTAGGCAAATACTGCAGTTTAACACAGTGTGGGAAAAAAAATATTTTAAGAAATTTCAGAACAAACAAACATTGAGATATTGAATATCATCAAAAGACTGAATAACACTTAAAAATAAAGGTGCTTCATGATGCCATAGAAGAACCTTTTTGTCTAAATGGTTCCATAAAGAACCTTTAACATCTGAAGAACCTTTCTGTTTGACAAAAGGTTCTTTGTGGCGAAAGAAGGTTCTTCAGATTACAAAAATGTAAGAAAGAGATGGTTCTTTAAAGAACCTTTGACTGAATGGTTCTTTGTGGAACCAAAAATGAAGCACCTTTTGAAGCACCTTTATTTTTAAGAGTCTAGATATGGCTTGGATCTTTCAATGCAACCCATTTTATCAACTGCTGAGAAAATTGCAAGTCTAAAAAATTATAAAAACACCTCTCCAACAAGCCATATAATTCCATGTCATTGTATCCTCAGGTGGTGACCAAAGATCTGGTGTGTACCGAAGTGAGCGCGGTGTGTTACTATCGTATCGAGAATGTGTCTGTGTGTTATTCCTCCCTCGCCGGCGTCCCAGATGTGCTGCAGGCTCTGACCCAGGTCTCTGTTAGAGAGATACTGGCCCATCATGCCTTCACTGACATTTTGCTGGACCGCAAACGGATGGCTCAGGAGATTCAGGTAGACGTCAACAGATATGACACCTCATGAGGGCTTGAAACAAGACGTCTACTAAGTTTTCATTTGTTGGGCAGGTCAGTTTAGATTCGGTAACCTGCAGGTGGGGTATCAAAGTGGAAAGAACAGAAATGTAAGTGCGCAGAACAGATTAGACTCCAAAAGTCGTCACATTACGGCACTCATAACATACTGTATGTTCACTGTTGCAGAGAAGAAATTAGTCTTCCACCTGAGCTGCAACACAACTTCGCTGTGGAGGCCGAAGCGAGACGTCAGGCACAAGTCAAAGTAAGGCCGTCTGTACAAAATGGGATTTGAACCCACATCCTTTCAGTTTCCAAACCAGCTTTTTAACCACTATGCTTCGTACAGGTGATCTCTGCAGAGGGAGAAAAGGCAGCTTGTGAGACTTTGAAGGCCTCTGTAGAGTCTCTCTCTGGTTCTCCACTGGTCGTGCACCTTCGACTCCTGCAGCTCCTTAACAATCTGCGCTCTGAGCAGCCTGCTGTGGTCCTCAACATACCTTCTGATGTCCTGACTCAATCCATCGACCTCACCAGTTTGACCAGACCTGCCAATCAAGGTCTGACCGCAGGTGATGGCTCAGATGATGCAAACAAAGACTCGCCCATGATGTAAAGACAGCATGGCTATCAGTGTTTACTTAGGAAGAACAGTTTCATATGACTAATTTTACATAGACAATTTACCGATACAATATTTACCTTTGCACCATCTAACTCTCACTTTAACTTCATCTTTAAAAACACTAATAATTTACACTGTTAAAGCTGCAGTCCGTAACTTTTGGCGCTCTAGCGGTGAATAAACAGAACTGCATGCGTCTTGCGGAAGAACATTGTAGCCGGAGCCACTTCTCTCTGTTTGGCTACTCTGCAGTGGGTCCTACCAGAACCAGTCTAAAATAGTCTAGAAAGAAATAGAAAGTTAATTTTAAAAGTAATGCATCACAATATTGCGTTACGCCCTAAAAAAGTAACTAATTATGTTACTTGGTTACTTTTTATGGAAAGTAATACGTTATGCTACTTTTGCATTACTTTTTAAATCTGGCCATGGCTTGCTTGTTTGTTTTTAAAATAAAAAGTTCTATTTTTAACAACTGTAAAAGCCCCTTCACACCAAAAAGTGAAAGGAATAAGCCTCAGGCTGAAGGAAAAGTAAATTCACATCCGTACAGTAGAATGCAGGAGAAGAAGGTTCAACACTCCTTAGCAATAAAAAAAACAATGAAGCACAAATGTTAGTTTATCTAAAGTCATTTTTGCTTATTAGTATGGTTGAACTGGATCATCAAAGGTCAGCAGCAAAGACATTGGTTAATCAAATGGGATTAAATACATAATTGTTACTTGTTTTATTTAACATATTTAATTATTGCAGGTTTGCGTCATATTCTGAGTTTGCATTTCACTGTTTTGATTCATTTTGATGAATACTGAATCTGTTTTTTTGCGAGTAAGATGAATTGATGCATGTTCACATTTAGTCTAGAACTACAGTAGGATCATGTTCACACAGCGCACACAACGCATCTGTACTTCCGATTTCTCTCAACATGGGGACAGGAGACTTGTGAGTAAATAAATGGGAAACAAAGTAACTGGTGTTACTAATTTGAAAAAGTAACTCAGATATTTTCTTCTAAATTAAAAAGTAATACGTTACTTTACTAGTTACTTGAAAAAAGTAATCTGATTACGTAACTCGCGTTACTGGTAATGCGTTACCCCCAACACTGATAGTCTGAATATAAAAATGTATTATAGGTGTAGCGTAGTGATTCAGAATAAGCCAAAAACACGGTTTGGAAAATGGATTCATGATGTACTCGCTTATTATGTAAATTGTGAACACAAAAAAAGTTACGGACTGCAGCTTTAAATGTAATCTTTAGCAAATCTCAAAATGAATATTCATTTTATGGTATGTGCAATACAAGTACACTTCAAATACAGATGTGTCTATACTTTATTATTTTGCCCCACATGAGCTCCAGTATGGTGTTTATTCCCATTTAGTGTTTTTTGGTGCCTCTGGACAGTTTGGGGCTGGCTTCAGGTTTCTGACTTCTCGTTTTAGCTTCAGAAGGGGTGCTGGGGGCCTTGTGTGCGGGTGCAATGTTCTTCTTGCTCGCTGTAAAAAGTAAATATAATCAGAGATTAGAAACAGGTCAGTTCATACTGTATTTACATAATAAAAAGATTTCACAACAGGTTCAAGTTGAATTTGCCAAGTTGACCAACAAAAAGCTGCTGGGTTTGAAAGTGACTTGTATGAGTAGTGCTTCATACAAGTCATTCACTACTTCATACAAGTATTGTCATTCACTACTGACAATATACAACAGACAAGAGACCATACTGCCTGCAAAATTTTGAAAAAAAAATAAAAAATTGGCTAATGTGACCACACCTTTAATCTTATTCTGTATCTGAAGTGTAATGTTAGCCTCTGACACACTTACACTTGGTCTCCACACTGGGCCGAGCCTGTAGCTGCCTCTCCAGATCTTGTATCTTGTCCAGAGCTACCTGTAGGTCTTCCTCTGCCTTTAGCGCTCGTACCTCTGCGCTGATAGCTCGCGTCTCTACATCCCTGGACAATACAGCTTATATAGAGACCACTACAGATCTGATTAAAGGATTAGTTTACTTCCAGAATAAAAAAATTCCTGATAATTTACTCACCCCCATGTCATCCAAGATGTTCATGGCTTTCTTTCTTCATTCGAAAAGAAATTAAGATTTTTGAGGAAAACATTCCAGGATTTTTCTCCATATAGTGGACTTCAACAGGTTCAAGGTCCAAATTGCAGTTTCATTGCAGATTCAAAGGGCTCTACTCACGATCCCAGCCGAAGAATAAGGGTCTAGCGAAATAATTGGTCATTTTCTAAAAAAAAAAAAAGAAGCTCTGTGATGTATGTCTGCGACTTCACGCATTACATAATCATGTTGGAAAGATGTCAAAAAAGATGATTTTGAAGCTTGAGGAGAAAATCAGATGGAGTTCTACATCTGCCTACATCCCGCGTGTGGCGTGACCTTCGCAGAGCTAGTGCAAGATGAGCATTTATGGTTAAAAAGTATATAGATTTGTATTTTTTTTTAGAAAATGGCCGATCGTTTCGCTAGATGAGACCCTTATTCCTCGGCTGGGATTGTGAAAAGCCCTTTCAAGACCTTCAACCTGTTGGTCCCTGGTGAAGTCCACTATATGTAGAAAAATCGTGGAATGTTTTCCTCAAAAACCTTAATTTCTTTTCAACTGAAGAAAGAAAGACATGAACATCTTAGATGACATGTGGGTGAGTAAACTTACAGAAGTACTTACAGAAGCTCTTGCTGAAGAGTTCTCACTGTTTCTAATGCATTGAAGGCTTCCTTGGCATTTTCAGTGTGAGGGGATACCACAAGTTCTTCAGTCTGGAAAATAATAAGAAAAGGTTTATGCTTTACACTCTGTAGATGGGAAGCTGATGGAGATGGTTTCGGCCAACTCACCCCTGTAAGTTGGACAGTGTCCACTCCTAAGTTCTTCTCAGTGATACTGCCATCATAACCAATTAGCTTCATGACTGAGCCATCTTTGTCATGTCTGCTGGCCTTTTCTTCCCCCTTGAGGAAGATTTGGTTTATTTATTTGGTGTTAATCTATGTAACCAAACTAGCTATATGGCTAGCAAGCTAATATCTTATATGGAAAAAAGTGTTAGTTACATATTCATCAGCACTTTGGAAAGAATAAGGCCCAGTGGTGTCTTTTATGGTCAAGGGTTCCTCTTCATCTTCTTTGGTAGGTTCCTCTGGTTGTTGCTCGAGCTAAGAAGATATACAAGAAAGTTACTCACATTCTGTACTAGCATAGCTGTATTCTACCAGAGAGCCTATGCTGATGTCGCTCACAGGCTGTGGCGAAGTTTTTCCAGACAGCTGCAGGTCCACAGGGCTTCCCTTCACATCTGACAGTAGTATTCGACAGGTCTCCACCCACTCGCCACACCTTTTCTGAACAAACACAATCCATGGAATTACAGGCGAGAAGTGAATTTAAAAGAGTAAACCTTGGTTGAGAAGATCAGAGGGATTGTAAAGCACCTGAAGTTGAGCAAGTTGGTAGAGCTCATTCTCTGTGTCATCCCGAGTTGAGCTCTTCCGGATTGCCTCCTCCACAATAGCCTGACAAGAGCTGCAGAACAATTTGTGTAAAGAATTTATTCCTAACTATATGCAGCTCAGGTATATCCTCTTGATGCATTGAGTTTAATGAGATCACCTTGTGATGTACTTGGAGAAGTAGTCAAGTTTCCCAGAGAGGTTCCTGGCATCCTCCTCCAGCTTCTCAACAGACACGTCCACAGTGGCGTTCAATTCAGGCATTGGAAGATTCGGTCCTTGGACTGGCACCATCAGTAGCAGAAGGTCCACCATCCACCGAATCAACTTGGTGTGAAGAGAAGTTACCTGATAACACATAATGAGATCATCATTCATGGCTTGGACCTTGGGCATCCAGTCCTGGTCCAGGAAATCCACCTTCCTGCAGAGTTTAAGTCGAATCGTGGTTAAACATCCCTGAACCAGATAATCCGAAAATGTCAAAATGTCCTGGACTGCATTTCCCAAAAGAATCGTAAGCATAAGTAGATCATAGAGACCACTGGTACTAATGGTTTCTACAATATACTTAGACCTACAATGCATTTGGTAAACGCAGCTGTCCTGCCCTAAGCCATGAGAGATGATAATCTTGTCTTGTCTACTCCAGGTCTGTTGGATCTAAACTCTGTAGAAGGGTGACCTCCAGGAACAGGAATGGACATCCCTGACTTAGGGAATGCAAGAAACGTTATGCAGTCCTGGGGTGTACCTCCTCATGAAGCCTCATATTTTCACAGTTGAAAAAGTTCTCTTGAGAGAACCGGAATTCCTTCATTGCCTTTAAGACATCATCCATTTCAATCCTGTCACAAATACAAACGGGGAAATTGGACATGGTTTAACCAAAAACATGAATCAAGTCCTATTTGTTTTGTGTCTTTTGTAGCAAGTTTCTGCCCATTTTTCTGAGGGTCCATTTTGTTTAGGATACTACCTTAAAAGTCAGCCATCAATGTTGGCAGTAGACAAGGTGTCTCACTAGGTTTTGCAAGATAGCTATAATGTTTGATCCTTGCATCTGTCTTACTTGGTGTGGGGTTTCTTTTTAGCCCTGTCCCGTTCTGACTGTGTGCTGTTCACTAGTTGGAGAGCCTCCTTAGACAGATTCATCAAGTTGCCAAGAGTTTCCTCCAACTTGAGGCAATCACCCAAAGACTGCTCCTCTGGAAGTCCACTCAAGGACTTTAATCTTCTTGACCAGAACTCCATATTTTCAATAAGCAACATTAGTGTCGCATGGATCCCTGCAAAAACAACCAAGAGCAGACGTCAATATCTATTGGAGAAACCAAACAAGACTATGTGAGGAACTAAAGAGCTTGGTTCTCACCACTTTCTCCACTAATACGGATTCCCAGTTGGTTCTGGAGCTCTGTAATGACCTTTGCCAGCTCCCTCATGGCCTCCTGGCCTTTAGGTGGCCCTCCATCTGAACCAGGGTGTCTCCTAAAGAGCTGGAGACAAACCTCAATCCAGGACTCTTGTAGGTTTGTTAGCATTTCAAGTGTTTCCTGACCAGACACTAGGTCCTCTCCTCCATATCGCTCACACTGCTGTGTCAACACCTGTCGGTGGACAGAGATAGCTATAATTTTTACATTTAAAATGGAAAGTAGAAAGATAATTGAGTAAGAAATAAAAAAATTATTGCTAACCTTTGACCATTGCTTCAGGTCTTGGGACAGCTCATCTTGAGACTTGTCAACATTCATATTAGGCTGCCTTATGAACCATATCAGTGCAAAGTTAATAAAGAAATAACAAAAATACAAAGAAAAAAGTATTTCCTTTACTGACCTTGATTTGTCTTCATAAAACTTGTGCCACTTGACAACGTTAGCACGGACAGATTCGATAGTCTCGCGCTGTTTGCTTTCAGCCTCTCTGAGGTTCTTCATGAAGTTGGTCAGTTTATCTTTCCACTGGTCAGTCAATTCCATGATGTGAGAAACATCCTCAAAGTCCTGTGAATAAAAATAACATGGATATAACATTACTCTATGTCAAAGTCTGGACAGGATGAGATATTAGGTATTTTAAGTACCTTTGCTGTTAGGAAAACAGTGAAATGATCTGCAGTCTTGGCCCAGGTGTGCTCACTAATATGTAGCCGTCTGACCAGATGAAGTTTATTTATCTTTATTATCTGAAAGAAATATGTGAGATATTTAGACTCAAATATTATAAATTCTTTCAAAATAAAAGTCAAAAGTGAATTGTCAAGCAGAATGCCACAAAGTCACCTTGACTGCAAGACTATAGGTGGCTTTTCTCCAGAGGTCCCTTTCTTCATATAGCTGAGACATCTGTCCTTCAAGTCTCCTTCGCTGCAGCTCATAAAGCTCATGGTAAGATAGACAGATAGACAGATAGCTATATAGACAGACAGACAGACAGACAGAGACCGACAGATAGATAATATATAGTAGACTACAACTCACATTGATGGAAAGACTCTTAGCTTCTGTTTGTCATCTTCTAGGAGAACTGTGAATTTGCTATAAAAGAAATGAAAACAAATAAAGCAACGTACTTGTTTAGCTGTAGAACAACAAGACAGATGTTCTTACTGACCAAGCAGACTGACTTACTCATCATAGCACTGCAGTCCCTTAAGGCCTTTGTTTTTTATGATGTGATATTCTTCTGGGATTAATGTTTCCAGTGAACTCTCGTCCTTCAACCCAAAAAACAACAACACAAAGTTTCAACATACAGAAAGATACGAAGAACTTAGCACCAAATTCAGGTTATTCTCCTATCACTTGCATTTTGATCTCCCTGAGCGGGGCTTCGTTCAGCCATTGGTGGGAGAGGCAATCGAGCATCACAGAGGAAGGATATGTCTCTGTTCAGATTCAAACAAACACAGTGAGCTAGAAAATGTCTCAGTGTCTTGTATATAAATGTATAATGATTCATTCCAACCTTCCAGCTCCAGTCAGAGAGGTCGGCTGGTTGAGAAAGTATTGGTATTTCTTGCGTCTAGCTGGATGGTGCCACACTGCATCAGTGCGATGTATTAAACAAATCTGGGAGAAGAGGTAAAAAGAGATGATTTAGTTACTAGAAACAATTTGGAAAAGAAAAGGTGGCACAGACCTTGAAGTCTTTAGGAGTTTTGGTTAATCTGAGGGGTGCAAGTCTGTCTTGAGGACAGGTGGTGGATCTTAAAGTTGCAAGGAGCTCGTCTGGAATTAAATCATCATGCACTTGCAGGCTGCTTCTGTCTTTTACAGGTGTCCTCTCTCTCACCTGAGGAAGCTCTGCCACCACTAGACAGATGAATCACATAAATACATAGTCTAGATAAGACACATTAAATAGACACAAAAATATTAAATATATTTTGTATATTTAAGATATAATATAAAATAAAATATGTGTGTGTGTAAAAAAGATGGTAATAAATAAATTAATATAAAAATAAAAACGAAAAACGAAAAAGTTTGTGATGTGGCATAAATAAATATTTAACACATTTTCAGTGGTATTCAATGAATGAATGAATGAATGAAATAAAATAATGTAGTAAGTGATGTGGAATAATAAATAAACAAAATATTAAGATGAATTAAGAACAAAGTTGGTGATTAGGCATAAATAAACAAATAATAGAAGAAAGGCTTTGTGATGTGGCATATATAAATAAATGTTAAGAATAATAAAACAAACTCTGTGACTCTGTGAATAAATAAATAAATAAATGGGCTATTAAGAATAACAAAGATTAAAGTTGGCGATATGAAAGAAAGAAAGAAAACAAAGGTGGTGATTTTTTAGCATGAAACATAATAAAATAGAAAAAGTTTGTGATGTTACGAATAACGTAAAGTTGAATCAGTAGGCTATTAATAATAGAAAAGGTGCTAAAAATGACTAATAACAAAGAATACTAGATTTTGAAATGGAATAAATAAATATTAACAATAAAGTTGATGATGTAAATTAGCTTTAAAAACGTCAGATTAACAAAGAAAATAAATGGAATAAATAAATATTAGCAATAAAGTTGCAGAAGAAAGTTTATGATGTAGCTTTAACAATTTGAGATTAACAAAGAAAACAGTGAGTGTTGTTGTTGTTGTTGGCAGATGATGGAGTTGACTCACTGTTAGTGACAGCAGCGCTGGATCTCCTCGTCCTGCGGCTCTCGGGTGTCGCTCCCTCCGGAGGAGACCTGACGGACACCGACATACTCTCACACCGTCTAAACTCGCTGCTGGACACTGTTTACGTGTGAATAACCGCGGAAAAGACGCAAAGGCGCTAAAACATTCAACTTTCTGCCGTTCTCCATGCTATAGCGCTCCAGACAACGCATAAAGTTTGGCTACTGTCTGCGCGCGAGCTGCTACTCCAAAACAGCGGCTAATAAACGTTCGTTGCCATGGACGCGTCGCGTCTCTACGTAACTCTCCACCACAGTTACAGAATCACACTCGAGAGACTTCTCTGACTAACATGAACACATTACTTTAATAATTGGATTTCTTTTATCGCTAGCATACGTTGTTTCCCGTAGTAAAACCAATCCTTTTTAAATATTCATAAGTTGTCTTATTAATAATTTAGCGGTTAAATGATGCTATGGCAGCCAAACAAATGAGTTTAAGGTGTACAGCTTGGAGAGGGGGAAAAAGTTTCTGGTTGCTTGTTATTGTTACTAAAACTAAAATGATTAATATCATCTTCGGTAATTTAAAAAAAGCTGAAATAAAATAAAACAATGAAAACTGAAACGTTTGCCCTGGCAACTAGCCTGAAATAAGTATAGCCTACCAAAATGACTAAAAACTGAAATAAAAATAAAGCTATACAGAAAAATAAAAACACATAACAAGCACATTACAAAATTACTAAAATTTAAACTTAAATTAATACGAAAACTGAAATTATAAAAATAAAAGCTACACTAATATCAGATAATAATAATATGAATAATAATAATAATAAAATAGCCTAGGCCTATATCAATTCTGGCTAGTTATCTGATAAGCAACTGGCCGATATTAAAAGTTAATATAATTTTGTTCAAATAAATAAAAAATAAAACACAAATAAGTTGAAGTATACTAAAATTACTAAAGCTAAAACTTAAATAAAAATACAGCTATATAAAAATAGAAAACCCCAAAAACGAATAAAAATGACAACAGCACATAACAAAATTACTTAAGACTTAAAAAACTTTATATAAAAAAACATATGATGCGATTTAAAGTTTTCCTTTCTCTTTGGAGTGTTACAAGCTCTTGGTGCATAAAGAAGATCTGTAAAGTTGCAAAGACTAAAGTCTCAAATCCAAAGAGATATTCTTTATAAAAGTTAAGAGTCAGCCACACCTACCTAAAACGGCTCCTTCTAAGACGCCCCCACATGTCTAGGTCACTATGTGGAAATATTAGCATAATGCAGCCCAAATGTGCACGCAAAGAAAGAACGCGTGGCTTCAGGAACAGCAGTAGTGTTGATGCAGCATGTCAGGGAGACGCTGTGTGATTCAGAACGAAACCAAAAGCACTTTATTTGGCCTTCCGGAAGTAGATGCAATTAGGAATCAAGAATTAGGTTAAGATTTATTTACAACAGAACAGCACAACCCAGATGTTCGAATTTGTGCAACGCATTTTATGGACGACAGTTTTTTGAACCCAGAAGAGTACAAGGCTGGCTGTGCAAAGGCTATTTCTAAAAAAAAA